CCATCCCCAGCCCCCCCCTCCTCCTCCTCCCAGTCCCCAGGATGGCAGGATTTAATTGAGGCCAGTTGAAAGTTGAGTGGAAATAAATTGTGGCTGATAAAGTGGATTTTTTAATTGAATTCCAGGAGAGAAGCTGGACTTGCTGGAGTGTCGAGTTCATCAAGGGCTGGGGGGGAGGAAGGGGGAGTTTATTTGTGATTTGCTGATGAGAAAATGATGGGGAGGGAGGGAGAGTTGGATGCACCTTTTAGAGCATCATCTGCAGGGCTTGAGGACATCCCTGGGAGGTGGCAGGTGTTGGGATAGTGGGAGGGATGTTGGGACAGGAGCCTGGAGGGGGTTGTCTGGTGGGAAAGTCTGATGGGAAAGAGCCAAGGTGGGGCTGGGGCCTTCATTGACCTTGTGGTGCTTCAGCATCTCAGTTGCTGGTGCACTGGAGGGTTGTGTGTCCAAGGGGTGGTGGGGACAGGAGCTGGACCAGTGGAGGTGCTGGAGATGGGGGAGGTTTTTTTTTTGGATGCTCCCAGGAATTTCCCCAAGCCCTGAGCCTGGGAAGCAGCCTGGACATGGAACCTTGAGGAGGAGAGAGGAACCAGGTTGGCCCTGCTGCTGAGGTGTTAAACTGGGAATGCTGGAGCAAAGAGTGGTGTTCCCTGCTTGGAGGGATGATGTTGGAAGTGGGTTTAGGCAGGGATCTGCTGGGATGCTGAGCACAGGGCTGGGCTCTGGGGCTCAGCTCCGTGCCAGGGTTGGCTCCTTGTGCCTGGGAAACCTCTTGCTGGTGGAAAAATGGGAAGCCTGGAAATCTGACCTGTTGGGAAAGCAGCTTTTGGATCCATGGGGCTGATCCTGGCCAGGGCTGGGCATCCTGTGGGGCAGGAGGAGGAGGAGGAGGAGGAAGAGGAGGAGGAAGAGCAGGAGAGGAGAAAGAGGAGGAGGAGGAAGAGAAGGAGGAAGAAGAGGAAGAGAAGGAGGAAGAAGAGGAAGAGAAGGAGGAGGAGGAGAGGAGAAAGAGGAGGAGGAGGAAGAGCAGGAGAGGAGAAAGAGGAGGAGGAGGAAGAGCAGGAGAGGAGAAAGAGGAGGAGGAAGAGAAGGAAGAGAAGGAGGAGGAAGAAGAGAAGGAGGAGGAGGAAGAGCAGGAGGAAGAGGAGGAAGAGAAGGTGAAGGAGGAAGAGCAGGGGAGGAGAAAGAGGAAGAGGAAGAGAAGGAGAAAGAGGAGAAGAAAGAGGAGGAGAGGAGAAAGAAGAGGAGGAGGAGCAGGAGGGTCTCTGCCCTGGCTGAGGCTGAAGGGGGACATGGAGTCTGGATGGGGCCAACTCTGTAACGACCTGCCCACTCCTGCTGCCTCTAATGAACTTTTCCCTCCCCCAGCCCAGGTGCCCTTTCCCTTTCTCCCTCCTTTTCCCATGGCAGGAGGGTTCTGAGGCTGCTTTTCCCCGTGCTCTCCGATTTGAATATGAAAGGGGGATGTTGAAATTGCCTTTCCAGGTGGCTTTTTGTTCAGCCCCGACTGCAGGACGTGATGTCTTCTTCCTAAACGCTGCTCTTGCTGTTCCAGCTTCACTTCCCTGGCTTGTTTTTTTGGCCCTTGTCACAGGGATCTGACACCTTTGCAACCCTGGGCTGGGGGTGCAGCACCCAGGAGGTGGGTGCACCCACTCCCAGCCCTCAAATGGGGTCTCCTATGGGTGGGAGGAGACCCCCCCATTCCCCCCAGCCCCAAAGCCAGAGGTTTTCCCAGCCCAGCAGGATGCCCCGAAGGGGAAATAGGCAGCAAATCCTGGGTTTTGCCTGCATCCCTAAAAGCCTGAGCCCTTCCTCTCGCCTTTATTCCCACCTGGGGGCTCTCCCTGTCCCTCCTCTCCCTGCAGACACGCTGTCAGTGCCTCGCTGGTCCCCGCAGATCCCCCGGCGAGATCTGGGAAACTCCATCAAACACAGGTAAGTCCCCCCTGTTGGTCATTCCTGGGAGCCTGGGATCATTCCCTGTGCCCTTTGCAGGGCTGTGCTGCCCTAGAAGCCCATTGAAATCCCATCATCAGCTCAGATTTGGTTTAGATAAGGTTGGAATCCCTGTGGGGGACCCGTGACCCTGCCCACCTGCTGGGAATGTTCCATCTCCAGATGATTTGTCCTTCCCCAGCTCCCAGGAGCAGGACTAGAAGCAGCCTCAGTGCTGCTATTCCATGGGGAGCTGCTTCTCTGAGGGGCTGGAAACTTGGGTCCTCAGGCCATGGGGGGATGGGGATGGGGAGGCTCTGCCCACAGCCTGGAGTGACCAAAGCTGGGGAGAAGGTGGTGGATGTCCATCCTGGCTGGTTTGGGTCCCTTTGGGAGCACTTTGTGTCTTCTGCAGGACCAAAGAGGAGCTCAGATTGGTGCTCTGGCATCCCTAGGAAGGTGTCTCCACACCTGCAGCAGGGGCAGGATAAATGGGGGCTGGGGAGATGCCTCTCCAGGAGCAGGGATGGGGTGGAGCAGCCTTGGCTTCCCTGGCCACTCTCCCTTCTTTCTCCCCACAGGTTTTCCACCAAGTACTGGATGTCCCAGACCTGCACTGTCTGTGGGAAAGGAATGTTGTTTGGCTTAAAGTGCAAAAACTGCAAGTATGTGGAGCTGGTTGTGTCAAACAAGGGGGATGAGGAGGGTTTGGAGGGAGATCAAAGAGCCTCTCACCAGCCCATCCTTGCAGGAAGCTCTGCCCAGGGAAGCTGTGGCTGCCCCATCCCTGGCAGTGTTGAAGGGCAGGTTGGATGGGGCTTGGAGCAACCTGGAATGGTGGGAGGTGTCCCTGCCCATGCAGGGGGGTGGGACTGGATGGTTTAAGGTCCCTTCCCATCCAAACCAGGCTGGGCTTCTGGGATTTGGTGACTGGGGATTCCAGGGGTAGGAGCAGGGTCCTTGGAGAGGATGCTGAGACCTGGGCTCTGCTTGCACCAGGGCTCTGACCCTGCCAGCCTCCCTGCTGCCCCCAGCTCTTCCATGAGCTCCCAGGGCTCTTTCCATGCCCACTTTCCAGGGTTATCTCTGGAATGATCTGCAGGAGATGGGGGGGATGCTCAGGCAAGAGCAGCACCCCCTGCCTGTGGGGCAGTTCCAGCCACAGGAGGAATTTTGCCCCCAGCTTTGGGCTGGAGCTTCTCCTTTCTCTTTTGCTTGCCTCACCACCTTGGGGTCCCCTCTGTTTCCTGCCAATGTCTGGGCCCCAAGGAACCAACCTACCCCCAGATCCCAGCTAAACTGGGAACCAAAGGAGAGGGGCCACCTCAGAATTGGGCAGAGCTGGGGAAAAAAAGGGAGTGGGGCAGAAGCTGGGGCCACTTTTACCACTTGGAATCCAGCAGAGCCCAGGTCCTGCAGCACTGGGGGAAGCTGCTTCTGGAGACACAGGTGCCCTTTTCTAGGGCTGGGTGCTGGGAACCCACCCATCATCTGGGGATAACTGGGTTAGTGGGAGCTGTGGAGTGATAACAGTCAGGGTTGCTGCTGATTAAATGCTGATGATTTGGCCAGCTGGGATTTAAACCTGGAGAAGAAATTGCCTGAGACAGCCTGAGGCTGGTGGGGGTTTTCTGGAGGCATTTTTTTTATCCTGTCTATTTTTCAGGTGGTGTTTCCTTCTTGCCTTCAGTGCTGGAGCCACTGGAGGCTTTACTGCCTGCAGACTCTGCCTGGGCTGGTCCCCAAGCAGAGGAGGGATGTTGGGTTTGGACCCTGCAATAACTCCTGCTGCCTCCACCCCCTCAGCAAACAGCAAATAAATCCCCCTGCCCCCCAAATTGTTAAAAACAAAGGTGAACCCCAACTTTTTAGCTTCACCAGCTTTGCCACAACCACCCACCCCAGAACCAGGAGGGGGAACAAGCAGCTCAACCAACCAACCAACCCCCAAATCCCCCCCCTCCCCAAGCCTCGAAAACTGAATTAATCTCTGCCTTTCCCTCTAGGAATGGCTTGGTAATAAAACCCAACAAGCACAGCTCCTGAATTTTCATTACCCAGCTCATTGACTTGGAGCTGCTGGGGTTTTTTTCCCCCCCTCTTTTTTTCATGCTTCATCTTTTTTTTTTTCAATCCTTTCCCTCTTCTTTGCCCTTTTCCCCCAAGGCTCTCCCTGCTCTGCTGGGACAACCAGGAACCAGGGACTCATTCCCAGCCCTAATTAAGAAGGAACAGGCCCCATTTTGGGGTGGGGGGGCCTCTGCTGATGCCTCTTTGCATGACCCTGGGATGAAGCCCTGCAAAGCTCTGCAGAATATTCAACCTCTGCCCATAAATGCTCCCATTCTTTTTGTTAAATGTCCTGGCAAGAGAACCAGGAGAGGGAGAGCACAATGGTTGGGATTCAGCTGGAGCCAAAGTGGGGGGGGCTGGGGCAGCTGCTTCCTTCCCCTCTGCTGCCCCTGAGTTGAATGGAAGCAGGAAGCAGAGTTGGGGGTGCTGGGGGAAGTGGTTTCCCCCTCCAAGCACGGGGCTCTGCTGCTGTTTATTTTCACCCAGGCTTGGCAGAGATGCCCACGTGGGGCATCCTCAAGCTGCCTGCTTGGAGCTGGTGGAGAAAAGGGGGGAGCTGGGCAGCCCCTCTGCTTTGGGGGTCTGACTGGGGAAGGTCCACCTTCCCCCCTCCCCAGCTCTTGTTGGCTGAGGGGATCCAGCCCCTGTGGCCTCCCTGCTGGCAGGGGGGCCTGGGGGGTGAATCGTGGGTGGTTTCTTACCCTTGTGCCCACAAGTGCTTGGGAGTTGGGGTTGTTGTTGAACTTGGAGAAGAGAAGGCTCCAGGGAGACCTTAGAGCAGCTTCCAGTGCCTGAAGGGGCTCCAGGAAAGCTGGGGAGGGACTTGGGACAAGGGCAGGGAGGGGTGGGATGAGGGGGATGGATGAAAACTGGAAGAGGGAGATTGAGGTTGGACATGAGGAGGAAATTCTTTGCTGTGAGGGTGGTGAGAGCCTGGCCCAGGTTGCCCAGGGAAGCTGTGGCTGCCCCATCCCTGGCAGTGTTGAAGGGCAGGTTGGATGGGGCTTGGAGCAGCCTGGGCTGCTGGGAGGTGTCCCTGCCCATGCAGGGGGGTTGGATCTAGATGATCATTAAGGTCCCTTCCAACCCAGTCTGGGATTCTGGGATGCTCTCCCCAAGCCTGAGCTGCAGGACCAGGGATCAGGAGGATTTCCCCAGGCAATGAGCACCAGGTGTAACACGACCCCGACTCCCCTCCCTGGGTGCGGATCAGGTCCCCAATCCTCAGTGATGCTCCCACCTGGGCCACCACGTCCCCATCCCCTTTCTCACCCTTTTGACTCCCCCCTCTCCTCCCTGCCAGGCTCAAGTGCCACAACAAATGCACCAAAGAGGCCCCTCCGTGTCACCTGCTGATCATCCACCGAGGAGGTGAGCACTTTTCTCCCCCTTTCCCATCCCCTTCCCACCAGGTAAAACCTACCCCAAACCCAATACAACCCACCCACCAAAACCCCCCTGGAGGCTTCCGAACCGCTTGGGAACTCCATGGGGAGGGAAAACATGTTACCCACCCGTTTTTTCCCCCCTTGTAGGGAGACGAGCCGTGAGGGGCGAGGCAGATTTGCATTGCAAACCACTTCCACCCACCCTTCCCCTGCCTCCTTTTCTTTTCAGATTCCCCACCGCCCGGGGTAAGTGTTCACCAGGGGTTGGTTTTTTTTAGCCT